AGGAGACTCCACCACCTCTCTGGGCAGCCTCTGCCAGGGCTCTGCCACCCTCACACCAAACAAGTTCCTCCTCATGTTGAGATGGAACTTCCCCTGTTCCAGTTTGTGCCCGTTCCCTCTTGTCCTGTCCCTGGGCACCACTGAAAAAAGCCTGGCCCCATCCTCCTGACACCCACCCTTGAAGGATTTATAGGTGTTGATCAGATCCCCCCTCAGCCTTCAGACTCAAAAGCCCCAAGTCCCTCAGCCTTTCCTCAGCAGAGAGATGCTCCAGGCCCCTCATCATCTTTGTAGCCTCTGCTGTCCCCTCTCCAGCAGTTCCCTGTCCTTCTGGAACTGGGGAGCCCCGAACTGGTCCCAGTGCTCCAGCTGGGGCCTCCCCAGGGCAGAGCAGAGGGGCAGGATGACCTCCCTCCACCTGCTGCTCACACTCTTCCTGATGCCCCCCAGGATGCAGAATCACCCAGCACATCCCTGATTGCAGTGAGACTGAAAATTAGACCACTATTGAGCATTTTTGCACACCCAACGAGCGTTAAAATATTAAAAGACATATGAACAAGGACATAAATTGAGCCTTCAGACAGAATAAATTTGTTTCTCGTAGTTAAGTCTGCCCACAGGGTATCACTCGGGTTCCTTCCCGAGCTCTCCAAAGTGTTAGAGCTGATCCAAATTGATCTTTTTTTGTAGAAAACCGCACTGGGAGTGACGTGTCTCGCCCAGCTGTGTGTAAACGGCAAACCCTTGTTGGGGCTGGGTTTAAGCCAAACAACTCGGTGCATTTTTTGATGGATTTGGCTCCGGACCCCTGAGCTGTACACCTCAAACCTCCGGCCTCTCACCATTCCCTGTGGGATCACCCAGGAAGCAAAGCACTGCTCTCTCTGAATCACAGCAGGATCAGGAATAACTCAGTTTTAGTTCCTGGTTTTACCAAGGGATGCGTTCTGTAGCTTCATTTAAATATATCTGCTCTTGGAGCAAATGAGGCCAGAATGACAACCAGGAAACTCAGAAAAAAAGGGAAAAAATGGGTACTGAACACATCTGAGTAAAGATTCCCTGCTCCTTCCCTGATTTATGGGTTTTCAGGATCAAGCTACGAGCCATGTTTATACCAAGTCACTTGCAGAATTTTTACTCCCGTTCAGCACAAAGATCCTTCTCGTGTGAATTTTAACCACAAGACACTAAAAATCTGCTGAGTGCAGCAAAAGGCAGTGGGAAAGTTTGGGGACCAGGGGATCCCTCCTTCGGGATGAGAATCCCCGCTGGGGCAGCTCCCACAGAACCAGTTTGGGGCTCAAATGCAGCCACCGATTCTAAAGTATCAATTCTACAGTAGTAAATTTTGCTAAATGAAAAATTCACAAAATCTACTATTCAGTATGAAACAGGATGGTTTCGATGGGTGTTTTATAATGAACGCAGCAGCACCCTCTTTATGATTTCTACTCGGATAGAAATAGTAACATTCTTTGATATTCTTTTTTCTTGAATTAACGACGTGTTTCTTTTTAATTTCAGACAAGCCACCAACTAATCTCCAAACTGAGTTAACCCCAGCTGCTTTCACCCCGACGAAGTCTCAGGTAAAGCAATGAATTAGCTTCTCCCTCCTCATTTCTTTACCCTCCTATCATCCCTAATCATTTCAGCCTCGTATTTCCCAGCGTTTTCTGTTGGGGGGGGCTGGATGGGAGGACATGGAGCCCCAAAAACGGGGGGATTGGAGCCTGAAGGGATGAGCGCTCTGAGGCCACTTCAGCTCCGGCAGAGGTGGCAGCAGCCGCCCGTGAGAGGGAGCTGAGTCATGCAGAAAGGCAAATCCGGTTTACGGATCAAACTGGGCGAAGGAGACTGCCAAAAAGAGCCCTAAAAATAAAAAAAAAAAGAAAAAGAAACACACACACACACCCCCCGCCACATTATGGTAAAAGGGTAGATCAACGAGCCTCATCTTCCACAAGAAGCTGTCTTGAGAAATTTATGGATGATAAATCACAGGAAGGCAGCAGGAATATGAAGTGAGAGTCTCTGTGTCCTCACGAGGAGCTGCTTCCACAGGTACTTTTATATTTAAATATAAAAATTTGGAGCAGCGAAGGAGCTGGCCTGGCTGAGGGTTAGTCCCAGCGAAGTAGGGAAGCTGTAATTCAGCCCACACTGTAAATCATTCCCTCTGTGCATTCATTAACTGCCTGCAGCTTCAGGGAGCTTTTCAGCTCTCATTTGGAGAAATTACCTGGTCATGACATAAGCCAGAAAAAAGGCGCGTCTAAGCACGTCGGCCGTACAAAGGGGAAGAGGAGCACAGATAAGAGGGAGAGTTTTGTGAGCAGGGACATCCAGGAAGCCTCATTTCCTCGGGAATTGCATCTCATGACTGTCAGATATATATATTTTTTTTTTCCTAAATTATACCAAAGCTTCAGGCTCGTCTTAAACAGAGAATCCACAGAGGAGAGAAACACGCACGTCTCCCATTAAAGGCTTTAAAGGAGGTTTGCTCCTGATGGGGCACCAGTGAATCCTATGGGAATATATTGATTGAAAGAGGGATTTTCCAGTCCCCAGGCTTTCAGTTCCCAGCACGGGGGCACCTCTCTTTCCAAGTGGTTGTGGTTGAATTAGTGGTTGAATTGTACACTGCATATATTTTCCCTTTGCAGAGAAGCACGCTCTCCCCCTGCCCGGCTACTACAGACACAGAATTAATATCTTCAAATTTGCCCCCGTGTTTCATTTCTGCTGAAATCAGCCCAAAAATTGACGGGGCGCCGAACTAACAGAGCGACAGCAACGACATCACTCGCGCGCAAACGCAATTTCGCATATGCCTTATTTCTCAAAGAAAGGAGGATTTTAAAAAGAAGAAGAACAATCTGCTCAGCAACACTTAAGGAACCCATCTGGCCACCACCTTCGTGGCTGAAGGAGAGCTGAGCAGTTTGATTTCTCCTGCTTCGGTAGCGTGGGCTCCTGGAAAGGCAGCTCAGCCTCCCCTGTCCAGTCCCCAGGCTTTCAGTTCCCAGCACGGGGGCACCTCTCTTTCCAAGTGGTTGTGGTTGAATTAGTGGTTGAATTGTACACTGCATATATTTTCCCTTTGCAGAGAAGCACGCTCTCCCCCTGCCCGGCTACTACAGACACAGAATTAATATCTTCAAATTTGCCCCCGTGTTTCATTTCTGCTGAAATCAGCCCAAAAATTGACGGGGCGCCGAACTAACAGAGCGACAGCAACGACATCACTCGCGCGCAAACGCAATTTCGCATATGCCTTATTTCTCAAAGAAAGGAGGATTTTAAAAAGAAGAAGAACAATCTGCTCAGCAACACTTAAGGAACCCATCTGGCCACCACCTTCGTGGCTGAAGGAGAGCTGAGCAGTTTGATTTCTCCTGCTTCGGTAGCGTGGGCTCCTGGAAAGGCAGCTCAGCCTCCCCTGTCGCTGTCACCGCGGGGCAGGGGCGAAAGGTGGGGGACAGGAAGACCTCAGCTCCTAAATACTGTGTATAAACGCACAAGCAGGTTGTTTTATCCACATTATACACAGTGCATGATGTATTTAATATGGGTAGACACAAACCAGCTTTCTATCAGATATAGCACGTGAAAAAAAAAATAATGTAATAGAGTTGCTGAGGTCGGAAGGGACTTTTCAGATCATAGAGTCCAACCATCAACCCAACACTGACAAAACCCATCACTGACCCATGTCCCTCAGCACCACGTCTGCCCGGCTTTTAGATACCTCCAGGGATGGGGACTCCACCACTGCCCTGGGCAGCCTGGTCCAAGGTTTGACAACCCTTTCCGTGGAGAAATTTTTCCCCAATTATGTAGAAATCCACCCCAAACTTCCCCTGGTGCAACCTGTGAAGAGCACAGAAACCCCTGCAAACCCCTTTTTTTTGCAGACCCCGAAATCAACAGTTTCTTGGCGAGAAGGCATTCCCACTGCCAACAGACCCAGCGGGCTAATTGTGGCCCCGTCTGTTCGCCCTCCCCCCCACCCCATCCCACCC